AAGACAAAAGACTTGATTAGTTAAGCCTTAATCTCTCTCACTTCTAAAAATTGAGAATTCGGACCCAACCTTGAATGAGAGAACTGCCCTTAATTCTAAAAGTTGGGAACATGGACCCAACCTTGAATTAGAGAGTTTTAAGTGTGCAAAGACCTATTGTTATCATATGACTTGCCTAAAATATTTGGAAATTAACAAAACAAGAAATTTGGAATGTAGCGAACACTTGAAAAATTTAGCATTGTTATGCATTGCTTTCTTACAGTTTATATATAAAGTCCAATATTTTTTTTATTAGCCGCAAATTTCTTAATTCTTATACTATGCTTGGGTATTTCATTGAGCTCGCTCTAGCTCATTAGTAATGGTTGTACTGTAGGGAAGGGGAATGAGCCAGTGGGGCTCTAGACAAACAGGTTGATTGAAGTTTTGTGTACATATATTTTGAATGTACATAAAGGTTAGAGTAGAAGTTCTACATACACTTTTGGGTATGTAAATGTTATTTAAAAGTTTAGGGAAGCTCTGCATTTTATTTGATGTGTTAAATATGCTTCTAGTTAAAAAATATTGATTTTAGTCTTAAGTTTTGAAAAACTTGAAGTTTTGGAAGAGTTTAGATTGACCATTTCCTACTCACTTGTTCCTAATAAAATTTTTAGAATGGTGTTAGTAAGAGATATGTCTGTTCATATTCTCCCTATTTGTTACACTCTAAATTGACTATAGGGGGTTAAAATAGGGTGTGACAGGAATAGGGTTTGCGAATGGGGGTACAGTAGGAAGGGAGTTTTGTGGTGGAGGTGGTGGATGGCTGACCACTATGGGAGGCCTTTCAGGCAAGGGGAATGGATGACCGGAGGAGGAGGAGGATGAGCTGAGCCATCAGGATTGGGTCATGCAAGGAGGGTGAAAGAAAGGTGAGATTTCCACCCTCGATACACTGGGGAAACATTGAGGGATTACGACGACCGCTACACAGGAGGAGGAAGAAGCTATTTGGGCTGTGGTGATCCTAGGGTGAGAAAATTGGAGATGCGAATGATTGAGGACAGGGAAGAGGAGCAACTTAGAACTTTCAACAAACAAATTGAAGAGGATAAAAAATTAATCATTCCTAGGAATAATCTTATTGAGCTGCATAAGGTTCTTGAAGAGCATGGTCTTTCATTTCTGGAGCTTTTACATATGAAGATAGATTTTTTTTTAACAAAGCAAAAAATAGAGAAAGTTGTAGGGTGGGCTAGAAAGTTAGTGTTCCTTTTGTTAGTAATGGTAGATTGTTGATACCTTGTGAAAGCCCGGAGATTGCTATTTCAAGGTTATGGGTGCAGGAATTAGTTTCAACGAAGGCCTTATAGAGCAGAAGGCCTTATAGAGCATAAAGAATCTTGCAAAAATGAGTATGAAGGGGTCAAATTTGGTGATATTGGTGCTCTAGAAGATGTGAAGAGAACATTAAATGAACTTGTTACGCTTCCTATGAGAAAGCCTTAGCTTTTTTCATAAGGAATTTTGCTCTTTGGCCAACCAGAAATAGGTAAAACTCTTTTTGCAAAAGCCCTTGCAATTGAAGCTAGAGCAAATTTTATCAATTAACCGGTTCTACTCTTACATCAAAGTGGTTTGGTGAGGCTAAGAAGCTCACCACGACACTCTTTTCTTTTGCATCTCAGCTAGCACCTGTCATTATTTTTTTAAATGAGCTTGACAACTTATTTGGTGCAGCGTGGTGCCTTTGAACATGAAGCAACAAGAAGAATGCTAAATGAATTTATGGCAGCTTGAATTTAAGGACCAAGGACAGTCAAAGGATTCTTATCCTAGGTGCAACAAATAGATAATTTGATTTGGACGATGCTGTGATACATCGTCTTCCAAGAAGGATATATGTAGACCTTCTAGATGCTGAAAATCACATGAAAATCTTAAATATATTTCTATCCCAATAAAACCTTGACCCTAACTTTAGATTTGATGAGTTAGCTAATGTAACAGAAGGTTATTCTGGAAGTGATTTGAAGAATCTTTGTATTGCCCTGCATATAGAATGGACCATGAACATCTTGACAAAGAGAAGTCAGACGAATTTACTATGCAAAAATTTACATTAGCTGGCACTTTTCATCTTAGAAGATCAGCTTCCAGTGTGGAAGTTGATATTAAGGGAACATCTAGTTTAAATTGTCATTCCTTGTCAAAGCATGAGTCCTCAACAACTTCTTCAAAGAATTGCACATTCAAAGAAGGTTACAGAGTAAAGTATGTAGGTAAGAGCGTTATTCTGGACTACCTTTTCCAGCTCAGAGTGGTCCACATTATAGCTTTCATGATAAAATAATTCTGACATTTGAAGAAAATGGATCATACAAAATTGGCGTAAGATTTGACAAACAGATTTTTGAAGGTAATGATCTTGGTGGTCTATGTGAAGAGGATCACGGGTTCTTTACAATTGACTTGCTTCTTTTAGACTATTCTGACCCAGACGATTCTAAAAGGATTGCTATTATTGAGTTAATTGAGGCTGTGACTGAAGAAGCTAAGAAAAAAAGGAGAAATTGGCATGCTAGAGAAACATGGGAGCCATATGAGATGATCAGGAGACCATTCCCTTCCTTCCACCTTGAGGACAAGGTGCTTTTTTAGGGGGAAGTATTGATATGCCAGGGGGCCCACCTTGTGGGGCCTAGGGGATTTAATATTCACTATGTAAGAAAGGAGAAATCAGGGAAAAAATAACTAAGAAAGTTTATTTTGGGAATGATGGCGGATTTGAATTTAAGATTGGAGAGGAAATTAGAAAATGTTTATTTAAAGAAAGAGGGCTGATTTGAACTCAGATTTGGGAGGGAATTAGGAAGTTTTATTAAGGGAAAGTTGGTTGATTTGAATTCATATTGGGAGGGAATAAAGAAGGTTTTACTATGGGAAAGAGGGCTGATTTGAATTTAGATTTGGGAGAAAAATATAACGGTTTATTTAAGGATAATCAGGTTGTTTTATTTTCATTATGTGATTTATGTTTGCTATAGTTTTCGTAGGAGTTGTTCCTAACAGCATTTAGGATTTGTGGGCGAGCTGATCTACCTCTCGAATATTTGATCACTTGTGTCTTTCTTTCTTATTTAAGAGAATAAAAAATCAGCTCCTATCTTCATATTCCTACAGTTTCTACTTGTTTCTTTCATTGCTTTTACTTTCAAGACGTATCAAATTTGTTGTGGTGGTTTGACATTTGTTTCAAATTAGATGTAATTTGGTGAGTATGATTCATACAGTTTATCTTCTTAGTGACCTTGTATTTCTTTTGGAGGAATGTTTCTTGGTTGCTTAAAGGATGACTTGGTTGTTTGTTGGTGCCTCGCCCAGGCCGACATGGATATTATTTGTGTGATATGACTTTATTGTTTATTGTTGCCTCACCCTGACCAACATGGATATTATTTGTGTGAAACGCATCACCCAGTGGTTTGTCCGCAACCCCCTTTAAGTTATAAAAAAAAAAACTTAGAGAAAAGCAAAATATGCCATGTGAATCTCGGACTGGCCTCACAAATAAGGTCCACAATAAAAAGTGAATGTTTTAAGATTGGCAAATGTTTTCACTTGCAAGATCTGCCTCTCCTCGCTAAATCACCACATTTTAATCTTTTTTCCATCAAAATATGGAATCCACTCCTAGAAATGAATCTTTCTCAGTTCAAGTACAAAATACCTTATAAAGCTTTTGTTATGTTATATTAAAACACTATAGGCGATGATGTTAGTGGTGGGAAATGGCCCCAGACTTTCAGGCTCTGACAAATGCCACCATTTATGTAGGCACCCACTGTACTGAACCTGTACGATAATTTGCTGAAACTTCTCTTGCCAGAATAAGGCGCATCATCCTATTCATAAGTAATGATTACTTTAGTGCTACCTGCTGCCTCGTTACCTTTTCTTAGTTACAGGATACTTCCTCAGGGACAGCTATTTTTCTGTCTATCTGCTTCACTGCAATTTGATACATGCAGGCTTGTCCTGAAAGCACATTTGCACACAAAATGCTGAACATCTAACCTAGCTAGACATTGCCTAGATGTATTATCTATGAAAATGATAATATAGATTACATCTATAAAACATGGGAATTCTAATAATTTACATTTTCTCAAGCTCATATTATCTTTCTTGGACAACGTGCACCAACTCCTGCTTTCCTACTGTATGCAGTGTGTCTGACGCTTAATTGAGATGTCATAATAAGCATTGCTAAAGACAAAAAAAGGATCATTTCTAACTATCTTTTTTTATTTTTTGCAGTTTGTGCCTTGAGATTGGAGAATATTTAACGTACTGTTTTGAGCAATTTTAAACTTTAAGAGTGTTGCATGTTTGGATAAGTTGCCATGTTTGAAATACTGCACATTCTTGTAATAATATAAGGGTTACAGTATTTTATAAATGTTAATGTGTTGAAATTAGGGGTGCAACCGAGTCAAGCCGGCTCGGGCTCGACTCGTTAATGGGCTCGACGAGCCGAGCTTATCGAGCTCGCGAGTCGAGATCGAACACGAGTTCGAGCTCGAATGCTAAACGAGCTCGAGCTCGGACACTGGGCTGATCGACTCCGTGCGCAGGATCGGGCGCGTGCGCGACGAAAGGCTCGATAGCGAGCTCGACGAGCCGCTCGATTTGACGACGAGTCGAGCTCGAGCTCGGATTTTGAGCTCGACTCGAGTTCGAGCTCGAGCTCGGGTTTTGATTGTCAGGCTTGACTCGAACACCCCCTGGCTCGAGCTCGACTGGACTCGTTTGCACCCCTAGTTGAAATGCATATCTTCTTTAAAGTTGCATATTGCCATTATGATCTCACTGATTCATTGCTGTTTTACTAAATTCTGAAGTGGCTGAATAATTATTCTGATCTGAAGCAATATTACTTCACTTAACACCTTCTTGAATATCATTTCTTGTTTTTGTGTTCAACGTAATGACAATAGTAAGTTTCGCAGATATGATACGGGTTCAACTGCCTATGATCTTACCCCCATCTTACAGGGGTACCAGCATTCGCTATTTTTATTATGTTCGCACCACAATCTCTGCAAGGTGGCTTGTACTAGAAAATGGCCATCATGATAAGTGGCCTGGAAATGATCTGATTAAATTGGTTAGTATCTCTTTTGTTATGATACTGTTCATATGGGTTTCACTTTTTTTTTTTTAGATTGTTTTAAAAATTAATTTGAGTTATGGTTGGACTCTCCCAGTAAAGGATGTAAATGGATTCTTTGCCTTTTCTTCTTTTCTCTGCGCATTCTACTGCTGAAGGCATTAGTTTCTTCACTTATGCAACGCTCTGTCTTTGTATATATTCGTATGATTGTAATGGCATAAGTTACCAAATAAATCTTTGTTCAGGTAAGTTGCTTCCAATCTTCTAATGCCTGTGCTAAGTCTGATTGTGATTTTTTTTTATTTTCATGGTTTGAAAGTGTGTTGCATTGTTCTGGAAAAATAAAGTCAAGTGACCGCCATTCAATTCCTTTCATCACGACTATACCGTCCTTTGAAACAGCAAGCATGTTTTGACGTCATTTAAATGATGAAACTACCTGGAGCTTCATAAATACCCATTGGAAGGAGTTACTTCCCGTATACGCTTATTGCTTCTACGTTCAAATGACTTTTATCATGATTAAAATCAAGGTTGTGAAAATTAGATCATATAACAAATTAAAAGAAGGTGAGATTCACGGTTCAATGGTTCAACTGAGGTTAAATTGGGACTGAATTGAATGACATAATAAATACTAATTTTATTCAAATGTATTATACATAATAATGATACAATCATTCAAAATATGTGACAAAATATTAAATATAATCAACAATTATGAAACATGAACATACACAATTAATAAATAAATTCTTTTTAAAATTAAAGACAGTTTTGAGTAGTTAACCTCTTCTTCTTAAGATCAAATATAATTTTTTATAGAAATCTTCCACTATTCTCTTTCTCTAATAGCTGAAACTCTAAAAATAAAATGATGAAAAGAAAGTTATTATCAATAAGTAACATGCAATACAAGTAACACAAGTTAAAGTACAATAAGCAAAATGCATTAATATATCGTAAATCGGTAAATGAAAACACCATAAATTATACTATTATAGAAATGCTTGCACACTATAAAATCTTTGAAGTCAATGAGATCACACATTCATGATATAGAGATAAAATAAACAATAGTTCTCAATTCAACTGTTCATATCAATTCATACATAAAAAAATAAAAAATGTGTCTCAACGGTTGAGTCCACAAATATAATAATCAAAATTTTCAAACATGTGCGTATAATTTTTGGCTGGAAAATTTATCCCATTTTATCTTTCCCCCATATATTTTTAATTTCTGTGTGTGTATAAGTATAAACTCATTTAATAGCTCAATCAATTAATAGTTCATTAACAGTTAATAAAATTAAATTACTGCAGCAGTTGTAATTAAATATTACTATAGCTGCTCTTCTCCACTAATCAAGGCATGCAATGGACTGAATTCTGAGAATGGGATCACACAGATGACATTAGTGCATAATGGAGTTAGTCAAGGATATTATATTAAGTTATAAGCACTATAGCATTTCCTTCCTATGCCATTTTCCCCACCCAATTTTCTGTAAGCGACCATCTGCAAGCAATGATGCAGGAGGCCGAAGGGCTGCGATTGTTGGGAGGGATCGGCTGTTGGGAGAGTAAAATTTCAGAAAACAGTAAGGTAATAAAGGAAAAAGGGAAGGAACAGAAGTGAGGAAAAGAGGTATAGGAGAAAAAGGGAGGTTGAATTGAATGTCACATTTATTTGAGGTAAAATTTTAGGATTTTATTTTCAGAGCAGTTCTTAAAATTCTTGTATAAATGCTACAATGTATGCTTTTTAATGTATTCTTTAGGTTGTATGTAAAAAGAAAAGAGGTCGGGGTATTTCAAGCAACCATTAAAAAAGCGGACGAGGCGTCCGCATTGAGTCGCGCCTCAAGTCGAGGCGGAAGTCATGCGTATCGGGGCTTACACCTCGAACAATCCAATGAAGCCTACGATTTTTTCGCACGAGGCGTACGCAACAAAGCGTAACGCCTCGAGGCAGTACAAGGCACTGCCTCAAAATTTTTTCTTCGGTATATAATGTAAATACGACGTAGCACCCGATTCGTGTTCGCGTATAGGATTAGGGCTTCCTGTGAGAATTGAAAGGCGAATTGGAGGCAAAGCCGTGAGGGAAAGAGACGAAGCCATGAGGGAAGGAGATGAAGCCGTGAGTGCAGGAGACGAAGTTAGAAGGAGACGACGCAGGAAACGAAGCCGAAAGCAATAACGATTTCGAAAGCAGGAAACGAAGCCGAAGTTGTGAGTGCAGGAAACTTTCAGGCCTCGGTTAGGTTGGAAGAGCAGGTGAGCGGTGTTGTGGGCCTTGACTTTGACGTGCAATAACAAAAGCTTGAATAACTCCTGATTCGGCTTTCTTTCATTCGTCCGTTCAGTACATGCTCGGTACTGCTAGGTATCGCTAGGTACATGCTCAGTACTGCTCGGTATCTTTTCATACAAACAACTTACGAACTTTAAAAACAAGCAGAACTTCAAAATTACTCTTACCGCTCAGGTTGAACCCCGTCAAGGGGCAATGCCCCCTTGGACCCCCGGCAGATCAATATATTGTTGTATTCATATTCCCTTATTATTAGTAGTACAAATAATTGTTAAAATCTGTCCTATTGTTGATTTTGTGTTGTGATTTACAATCTGATGATGAATAGGTTATTCCTAAGAATGTTGATAATTTATAATCTGAAGTTGAAGCAGAAGGAGAAACTCATGTCAATGAAGACAAAGAAGCAACTACTTATGTAATAAAAGAAAGAAACAAATTGAGATTGGAGCTTCAAAACAATTCAAAGGTATTCTTAAATATAATGAATTATTTTTATGCTATTATTGTTTCATTCTAGAGCTAATGAAATATTAACTGATATAGGGGATAAAGGAAAAAATATTATAGATGAAGAAGAGTTTGAGGATGACTTTGACATTAATTATGAAGATTCTTTTGAAGATAATCAAAGTGATGATGAGCTTGCATTGGGTTTTAATCCTAAAGGGATGTTTTATTTTTAAGTGAGTTTATTTTAAATCTTCTTTTCCAGTAATATACTAATATTATTTTAGAACAAATTATTAAATTCACAGTTGACATAATATTTTGTTATTTTTTGTCATTATTCATAATTTTAAATTACTTTATTTTTATCATTTTTGAGGCTTACGCTTTGCCTCGCTTATCTAAAACGCATCGATTCCCGATTTCGCCTTTTAAAACGTTGATTTCAAGTAAACAACTTTACCTGACTTTACACGACTATCTTAGAGAACGAAGTGAGATATTCAATTTGTGATATAGGAAAAAATAACATTTTATATAATTATGGCAACATGCTTATCCCACTGTGGTAGCAATTATTTTCATATTGAAAATGTTGATGGTTTACTGATGCACTTGATTTCAGCATGTGATAGTTGATGTTTACTGGATATACAAAGGTGTAAGAAGACATTAGACTAAAATTCTCTAATTTATTTGATGACCGCTAAGACAATGAATTTTGAGGATGAATTTTTAATGAGGGGCGGATTATAATACCCAAAATTTTAAAAAATGTAAGTATAATTTTTGGCTTAAAAATTTACCCCATTTTATCATTCCCCCATAAAACAGTAAGTTATTGTCATTAAATGATGTAAGCAACTTAGAACAAAACTCAAAGAGAAAACCAAGTAAATCAAAACTCACTTTTATATAACTTTGAGAAACTTTTGGAGAACACAATAGACTAAATGAAACACTAAATTTCAGAAAGAAAAGCAAAGATCACCCAAGAAACCAAAGCACAAAGAAAAGTTAGCAATAAAAGCAAACATAAAAAAAAAAAAACACTATCCTCAGAACATCCTGCAAGAGGACTCCTCACATGTACCGAGTGTAGGAATATATTTAAGAATAAGGATTTAGATATGCAAACCAAGGGTCCACCACTGCAAAGGGGTCCAATGTCCTACCAAACTCCTCCAGCAAATGCCACCAAAACAGCCACCAAATACCACCAAAACAGCCAACAACTTTTACCCACGGAACTTAGAAGAAAGATACAGGTGGAGTGGAACTTGCGTAGAGAAGAAAGAGGTTAGAAGCCGAGACGAAAGGTTGGAAAGAGCTCGCAAGATTTCCAGAGGAGGTGGAAGAAGGTGGACAAAGCTCTCAAGCTTTTCCAAGAAGAACCCGCAGGTTATAGCAACTTTGCTCTCAAATATTCACCAACCCTTCCTTCTCAAAACATCTCATATATATAGGCAATAGAGGGGAACTAAACAGCCCAATAACTGCCATAAATATCCAGCACAGGAAACAGGGCAGAACTTTCGGTTTCCAGCATAGGAAAACCAACAGCAGCAAGCCATTTAAAAGCCACGGTAATAGCAGCTGAGAACTCCAAACGGCAAAGCAAAGATCAAGAAAAAAAGCCACGGGTTTCCAGCACAACCGAGGCAGCAAATAAAGGGAATAAAGGCCACGGGTTCCACCACAGAGAAACCCCAAACGCCAACATTAAAGCACATTGAAGACCACGGTTCCAGCAGCCAAATGAGGGAAAATAATGCAGCAGTTCAAGAGGCAAAGAAGAAGAGGAAGAGACAAGTTCCACTCACCTAAAAGCTTGCACCTCATAATGAATTTAGAGCTAAACATCAGCTCATAATGAGCTACATCTCCACATGATAATAATGAGCTTGCACCACTAAAATTTCAACAACTAAAGCTCAAAACCGAAATCAGCCAAGGCTCCCATAGAACTAGAAAACAGCCCAAAGGATAAGGTGGACCCCAAAGCCAGCAAACCCAAGGTAAGCAAACCCAATCCTTATCCTACCATGATCATTGGATTTACGACCATCATTGGATATCATAAAATAAAATAAAAATAGCAAATATAACTAAATTTGTCCAAAACAAATAATGCAAGACAAATTAAAATGCATCATTATTTAAGTCATCTTCATCTGTAGTTCATAAATGTAACATAATAAGTCTTTAATCTTTATTGCATACTTCATCCAAATAATATAATTAAATATAATTGACAGCTTACTTTGAGCTTATCCAGTATAAGTTATATTCAGTTCTTCAGTAGTAAAATTGCATCATCTTTATAAATTTTCATCTTCAAATCCTCTAAATTAACTTCTTGAGCCGGTTCATCATCTAGTACCCAAAAGTTGACCATTTTAATGCTTGTATAATCCAAAAGATCGTAATTTCTTTTTTAAATCAAGAATTTACAAAGTTAAATTGTAACATGATAATTATAATGTATTTAAATATACTTATATTCATTTTCTAATAGAAAGATGACTCAGATGTTGATACTTTTATGTGGCTAGCCCAAAGAAACAATAAATAAATAAATATAAAAGTACAAACTCTTTTACTTAACAAAATCATTAATGTTATATCAAATATATACAAGATCACTTAGCCTTCGATATTTTAGATGATTTTGTCTCATGGTGTGAATTTGCTTAAAAACACTTTAGTTTCTCACATCTTGAAGAAAATGTTTGACTAAGAATTTTATCAATCAATTTCTACAAATTTGAAGCACTTGAACTCAACATCATTCTTCTATAAATAGTTAAATATTAATTAGTTATGTGGTGATTAGTATATGTCAATATATGATATCATAACTAATTATTATAGTACATATTGAAATTATTGTTGAACTTATCATGTTGCATTTCTTTTGACATTGTAAATGCAATTAGCTTGCTAAAATTTTCCAAGTTAAAAAAAATCCTTATCTCATTCATTGTCCATGATGATTTATGGCATATATCTTTAATTCTTATTAATATCATTTAAAATTTGCATTACTTTAAGTTTATGGCATAATTTTTTTGTTATATTGAAAATGAGGATTTGGGAAATATGTTGCTGAGCATATAAATTGTCGTAGCTAACTATCTCATTTTCTTTTTATTTTGCTTTTGTATGGATTGTACATTCCTTTTATATTTCTGAACATGCTCGTAAATGGAAAATGATGCAACTCACAAAAAATCACACACAATGTACACAATAGTTTTGGGTTTCCTCCGGTCAAATTTCATCCCAGCATCCCAGCCGTCCCTTCCCTTTTGATCTCATGGCCAACATGGGGATCTGTTGGAGGCTCACCTGGATCACAACAATCTCTTTCTATATTTGGGTGGCTGATTTATGAATGATTATATTAGTACAATTATGCATTAATTTTTAATTATTTGTTTCTTTATTTACATATATATCGTATAGAGTTATAAATAGGGAGAGCTTTATGCAATAAAATTAAGCATTTTCTCTCTCCAATTCTCTAAATTTAACATGGTATCAGAGCCTTCATTGCCATTGCCAGAATTCTGAGTTTTTTTGTTCTATTGTCGTGCGGTCGTGCCTTCATTGACGGCCTTCCCTTGAGAAACGAGAGGGAGCGGGTTCCAGCTTGGATTTGTCTTTTGTGTTCGTCTAGCCAAGAGAGAGACTGAGAGGGAGATGGGGGAGAGATTGAGTATTTAGATCTAATGGGAACTAGAAAGTTTAAAGCTCAATGGATAACACAAAATAAAGTAGAACACAATTCGATTCAAAACTTTAATAAGCAAGTCACCAAATAACATTAAACAAACTAAAATTATTTTATAAGAAGAAAGAAAACCAAAACAAACTACCCTCAGAACAACCAGCTAATGGTTACCTCACATGTAACGATAAAATAGGTAAATAGAATGCTCAAGGACATGTAAACCAGTGGTCCACCACAATAATTTTGATCCAATCCAACGTTGTCCACAACTCCTCCGGCAAATCCCAACAAAACTTACCAACCAGCACCACTCTCAATTTTAGAAGAATGATACAATTGGGTGGAAACTTGTGGAGAGAAGAAAGGGGTAGAAGACTTGGAAGAAGAAACAAGAAGTGAAGAAGTAGCTCTCAAGCTAGAGAAGAAACCCTCAGGTTTTTACTTTGTTTTCACTTCCAAGAAATTGCTCACAACAGCCCAAAACTCCCCTATAACTAGGAAAGAAAAGTAGGCCAAAAGCCATGCACAATTGCCCCCTACAGCCAACCAAAAAGGGAGGAAATAGGAAGCATTAAAAGGCATGGAAGAACCCACCAGATAAATCGGGAAAGCCAAGGGATAACAGCAGAAACCTAACAGGCAAAGCAAGGGGAACCGGGAAAGCCAGAAACAGGAGTAGAAACCGAACAACCAAGCAAGGGAAACCGGGAAAGCCAGGGAGCAGGGGCAGAAACCGAACAGTCAAGCCAACCAACAAACCCAAATCCAAGCAACTTAGCTGCCACTAACAAACCCGAATTAACCCAAATACAAAGCACACAAAGAAGCTAGCACACCAAAAGAAAAACATGTCCAATGAGCACCTATACCACACTTGATCATTGGTTGCCTTCCATCATTGGGTAAATAAAAATAAAACTCAAAAATTACAATAACATAAAATAAAAAAAACATGATCATGAAGAATTGAATGCATCAGGATCCCTGCCTGCGACTGGCGAGTGCGGGAGCAAGGAGGATTGAGCTGCTCCCTGTGTACATGAAGTTGAGCGAACTATGCAGTTTGTGTGGCCTAGCAGTTGATCGAGCGCAACAAAGGGACCTGCTGCTTCTGCGTGTGAGTCAAGCTGAACCATGAGGCCCTTTCCTCTCGTGTGTGTGCCAGAGATGGGGCCGGGGGGGGGTCGAGCGAGGTCTAGTCCTCCCCATAACGAAAGTAACCATTTTGATTTCATCTTCCAAAAGAATCAAGCAGGTCTGATTGGTTCAATTTGTCCATGTCTTCTAGAATTCTCTCTCACTATGGCATATCAAACGGGTCTTTTAAGTGATTAAAGAAAGCATCCTCAGTTTCTTCACACAAGTCAATACTAGTTCCATTCTCCATAATGAACAATTTCTCATTCTTCTCTATTATTTATCATTGAAGCACATCTATTGATAGCATTTAGCAGTTGGCTTTAAAATCAACGTCACAATGCTCTTTTTTAGTGCTTTCAAGTTTTTTTCCTTAAGCCTTACTTTCATATGCTGGCATTGTTTTTTCAAATTGAACATTGCTAAGATTTAATGCTTTTTAACCTTTTTTTCCTAGTAGAATTTATTAATTGTGAAAATATGCCTTCAGGAAGCTCGAGCTCCTTTGCAAGTATGGGCGATGCAAAAGAGCAACAATTTTCTGAACGAGGAAGGTTAGAAACATAGTGCTATTTTTTCTTTTTTATGAATTTGAAATGCATGTCCTTTTTGTATATTATGAGGTGAAAAGATGTTTTTATGTAAGTTAAATGATGGTCTTGACTCTGTTGATTCCCTATGTTAGATTTTGGTAGTTAGATTGGTTGCTTTAATTGAATGAAATCTATACAAAGGAATCTGTATTTAAATTATTAAAGGACATAATCTGCTGGTTTGAGATCATTAAGGGTGCCCATTTTGGTGTCTCTTACCGTTGAAAAACATAAGACAAGAAAACTCAATACTTTTGTATCTTATTCACGAAGAAGAATATGTTGATAATTTATACAAGAGAGCTAGAATAGAAAGAAATCTTGGCGGAAATTAAGATCGTCTATAAATCAATTGCTTCTATATATGGCAAGGAGGATTCATCAAAGCATAAAGAAGTTCAAATAAAAAATAGTTTTTAGCTCACTAGAAATCAATTTTGACATTAAATATTAGGCTTTAAAGATGTTGCACATTGCCTATTTATCCATTAAATATTTAAAAATAATTTAAACCTTTGAATGATTAGAAATATTAGAATATTCTTAACTATTAAACTTCTTTATCAATTATGTAGTAAATCCTATAATCAAAATAATATATGGTTGGCAGATAAGATTATAGTAGATGTTAGTTGTAATTTTTCTCTTTTTTTATGGATTTAGCTTTTAAATTGAAAATACTTTGTCCCTCCCTCATTAAAAAAAATGAAAATTTTTTATTGAGCCTAATTTTGAAATAGAGCTCTCTTGGTATGTTAGCTTTTGAAAATGGTAGACCTTCTCTCTCATTATGGCTTAATCTATAGTATATTCATGTAAATTTGATAGATTAATTGATGTGACTTGGCCTTTTTTTTACTAAAGATAAATTCCCCCCCCCCCTAAATGAATAAAAAAAATTCAAAAAATTGCAGGAGCTTCATTCTGAAATGGAGCTCTCTCCTTAGTTCTAGTTTTGAGAAGTTTCAAAAGGGAATTTATTTCTCATTGTGGCTTAATATAATTTATAGATTTGGATCTATAGTATATAGGTAAAAATTATATATAGATTTGGATCTATAGTATATAGGTAAAAATTATATAGAATAATATATTTGACCTGACCGTTTTTAATCATAAGATATTTTTCTCTCCTTAATGAATTAATAAATTCAAAGAATTATAGAAGCTCTATTTTGAAATGGATGTCTTTCATTAGTTGTAGTTTTGAAAAGTTTTAATGAAAGTTTTTATCTCTCATTGTAGTTTAATAATATTATTTCTATGGCTATCTATGTTTCTATGTATCTTGAATTGTTTACATGCATGATTGATAAAAATGATTGCAACATTTTACCAAAAAAATATAACATTAATCAGTCACACTTGTTACATAATGCTAATTCCTACTATTATAAGTTTTTGAGTGGGTGAAACTGGATTATATTGCATGTTTTTTGGAAGGTAAATGATGCAGTGGGCAAGAAGGGAAGGCAACTATCTACAATAGACTTCTCCTCTTCAAGAACACTATAAAACAAATGGCATCCAAGAAGGCATATCCTGCAACATAACGAGGAGAATTTAGTGTTATTTTATGTCTTCGGAATATAGAGGAATAAAACAAAGATAAAAAAGCCAACCAACCACATTCCCATCGTATCCCCTCATATTGATGTGTACAAATAAAATTTTGCAAAAGAGGGCCCTCCCCATGGAGGATGAGATTCATCCTCAAATGAGACGATGTTGCTCTGGCTTGTCATCAGCCATAAAAGGAATGAGGTGTCTAATATTAAAGATGTCGGAGGTATGCAGATTATAGAACAATTGTTGGCGATATGTATTAGGATTAATTTTCTACCCAATTTCAATAGAGCCAATTTTGCAAGGAAAAAGCTTGTTGCACTCATGAGGGGAAAACCAGTATTTGGTGCGAACTGCTCACACAAGATCGCCAATTTAAAATTCTACATGACAATGGTTTTTTATCAACAAAGCTGATGTAGGCAAAGGGGGGGGGGGGGCGTGGGGAAAGGGGGGGGGGGGGGGGGTCAAAACAAGTTGGGTTTTATTTTTGGTGAGCTTTTATTTTCTTTGCTAGATGTCAACTCATTAATCTCTAGTAGAGTGTCTTAAGCTCATAAATTGTAAGAATTAATTAGGTTCATTCCCCCCCTCTCTTTTGGCCCTTGGTTCTTCTCTCTTGGTTGCCTTTTCCTTTCCCCGTCTTTGTGTCCCTTCGGTTCTCCCCTGGTGCTATTCCCGTGGCTGGTTCCCCTCCCTTTGCTGGGTGTTGGTTCCGGTCCCCTATGTGCCTGCTTGGTTTCTTCCCTGGTTGTTTTCTCGTGGCTGCCTCTACCCGGTTCTTGTGTTGCATTTTCGGTTTGTTCCCTGGCTGCTTTCCCGTGACTGTTTTACCTGGATTTCCTGAGCCTTTTCAAGTGCTGATTCTGGAATGAATTGTGACTGTTTGGGAGCTATTTTGGGAGTGAATGCTGCCCCTTTTGGGGGTTTTTATGTGACTGTTTGGCTGCCCTCTTAGGTCCTATAAATATGTGATGACTGGTGAATAAAATGGAGTTTTAGAGAGTGTTGTATGCCAATTTTTGGAGTAAAAAAACCTGAGGGTTTTTTCTTCTTTTGGCTTGCGAGCTATGTCCCCATCTCTTCTCCTCTCTATAGCTTGCGAGCTATGTTTTGTTTCGGCTTCTTATCTCCTTCTTCTCTCCGCAAGTGACTACCCCACCTGTATCCTTCTTCTCGATCCAAAAAAAGCAAGTTTAGTTGTGTGTGTTTGTGTCAAGAATTGTAAGAGTCTTTTTATATCATAAAAGTGAAGTCGTTATTGTTTTAAATGTCGTATTTTATCTATTTTGGGGCATTTCTTATATTTTTATCCTAAGAAGTCTGTGTATCTTTTGCTTGCAAAAAATTAGGGGTTTTCTTTATTTTTTGCTTGCATCAAAAGCCCTTATTTTGTTGTAGCAGTCACAAGATTATCATGATTTTTTTTATGGATATGTTGTAGTCTAACCACCAAGTTTTAAACTGTGCCATGAGGCTGAACTGTATTGGGCAGAGGGAGATGTTCAATAGGATCTCTAAGAGGAAAGTTGTTGACTACCTAAAGGGGCTGAAATTAATATTGCAATTAACAATGTGATTGTGAGCAAACTCAGGTTGATGCAGCTTAAGGTCCCAAGATTTGACATGTTCACTTACTAGGCTCCATAACATGTCACCCAACAAATGATTGGCAACTTCTATTTTGTCTATATGTTTGTGGGTGACAGTTAGACCTGGCATTTAAACTAGTGTTAACTAGTTGCATAAGTTGCGCCATTATGTGGCTAAGGAAATGGGTGTCATGTTCAGACACAATGGTGTTCGGGAGGCTATGTAGTATATCTATTTCGTAAAAATAGAGGGTGTAGATGTGAATGATATTGGTAGTACACTTACTAGTAATGAAATGGACCATTTTTTAGAAACGATCCACGATGATAAAAATATAATAATAGAAAAATTGCATTCACAAAAGCTCAAGCTCTAAATTGATGCTAATATAATATTGCATGTTTGGGTCAGAATATGCAGTGGTTTGTACATCTCGCATTAGCAGTTGTTCCCTTGGCTAAGCGGCAAATCAACAACGAGCTACAAAGTTTTGAACTTCCCGCCGCATAGAAGGCCAACAATAAGGTGCCATTAAATAAAAAGTTTGATCATGACCTACATGGCCTTCAATTTATTAATGATTTTTGTGTGGAGATTTCATTTCATAATATAAAGTTCTACACCTTTAAACAAGTTACAGAATAATAGAGAAATAAGGATCAATTGTGTAGAGATCTTGGAATGTGTTAATACATGACACCAAAAGGCTTATTTTAGACAAAAAAGAATGGTTTAAAGCAAAGTTTTAAAAGGGGAAATCGGGAATCGATGCATTTTTTTCTAAGCGAGGCGAGGCATAAGCCTCAAAATGATTAAAATAAATTAATTTAAAATTATAAATAATGACAAAAAATAACAAAATATTATGTCAACTATGAATTTGAAGATTTGTTTTAACAATTATTTGTACTACCAATAATAAAACAACATGAATACAACAATATACCGTTTTGCCAAGGGTCCAAGGGGGCACTGCCCCCTGGCGGGGTTCGACCGAGAGTTTTATTATAAGAGTAATTTTGAAATTATGCTTGTTTTTAAAGTTCGTAAGTTGTTTGTATGGAAAGATACACCTGTGGGCTCCGAAAATTCGGCCCCGGCCTCCCCGCCGCGCGATTTCTTTTTTTATCTGAGCGAGGGAGTTTTAACGAACTAAGTTCCGAGGTAAATTTTGGAAGGCAGATGGGTTTGTAGATAAGACACTACCCAGAGATTTCGCCCTCATTTTGCGAGGACTTTATGATCTGAGTTCTGGTTTCCTATAGGCGCAAGCCCCTATAGTTAATTACCTCTCTCGATAACGAGAGAGAACTTTCGATTAAGGCTAGTCATCAATCAGATACGTAGAGTATACGTGTTATCTGGCATATAGTAGCAACAATGGGATTAGGATATGAGAATTTGGAAATTTGGGAACTTGGGTTGAGATATTTGAGGATTTGATATTTAAAATTGAAAATTGCACCATCTTACACTTAAAGCGGATGGTGGGGGAATGGATGATGGGGCCCGTCAATGATCCCATGGTTCCATCGTCCCAGGCCATCTGGGTCCCTGGTCTACTTAGTCGGAGGAGGTAGTCGACCCAACCTAGACAGAAGGATCCTTGTCAGCAGCCATGGGTTGCTTCATCCAAGGGGACCTTGTAGACCGGGGTTGGATGTTTGTCTAAGGGGATAAATTGGAATTCACCTTATGCTAACAGAGAGCTTTGTTCCTATCGATCATATCCTATTGATTCATATCTTAAGGATTTAACGCCATTAAGGAGCGTATTGGCTCTGGCCATAACCGCTATCTGT